ACAGTTAATCCCTTAACCAAGTTTTTTGCAAATGTACTAAAGATTATAACAGTACCACATGTACAATTTTTGCATGCAAGAAAATGTCCAATTGTACACCGTTATGCCAGAACTGCTAAGGGAACTAAGGAAGATAAAGAATATATAGGCCTACACCGCATTATCACTTCGATAGCCAATATTGAGTCTAATCAACAAGAATTGAATGATGTAAATGTCTTAGATGGTGGTTCTCAGTTCCAGATGGCACCTGTTTTTGGGACAGAAGTCGGACCCTCTCATCCCAAGTGAGTCAGTAGCTGCAAACATGATCTTTTTCATTTTTAGTGTAATAATTATGTGTTTCCATGACAAATATACATAACTTAAATAAATTTATATAAACTATTTTTAACACAATATACAGGGTGTTCATTTGAAAACTTTCCATATCTGTTGTGTACAAAGGTAAGGCTTTTAACACTTGTTTGATCTCAATTCCCCCTAATTTGAACATGCCAAATCCATTAAAATTATTTTTAATTTTGAAAAATGCCCCAAAAGGGCCCATTTTGGGGGGTAGGGGTGCTTTTTGAGAAATTTTCAAATGTAAACATAGGTTGTGTGATACATCAATTTAAAGGTCTAATTACCCCGATCACTTTGGTGCAAGAAAAAGTTAATTATCTTTAACCATATTTACAGGGTGGGTCAAAACGTTTTAAAAAACAACTTTGAAGTTAAGTACCGTATTACCCTAACTACTGAACGGAAGAGCATCAAATTTTTTTCCAAGCTTATTGTTGAGCTACTCTTTGAGATAAATTGTGTTGAAAGCAATTTCCGAGTTATTTTCCATTTTAAAAAAATCTTAAATTTTAAGAATAAAAGAAAGCTGAAAACACAAAATTCTTAAATAGCAAGGTATAACAATTATTGTATCATGTGAAAGGTCTTTTTTAAACAAACATTTTTTGTATTTAAGTTTTCTTTCTATCTCTTTCCGTTGCAAATTGACAGTTGAAAAACTTTATTTTATACCTCAGTTATAAAATGTAACATTTGTTATTAAATTAACTTACATGTTTCTCAAATTAAAATTAAACAAAATAACACTTGAAATCCTCTTACCTTAATTTTGAACTCAAAGGAGATGTTCGAAATGCTGGCCGTTTTTCTCCAAACAAAAATAAAGTCTGTTACAAAATTCTTCCCTGACTTTACTTAACGTGTCCGCTGTGATAGCCCTGCACTCAGTTGTGATTCGATGCCTCAACTCTTGAACATCTTGAGGGGGCGTTTTATAAACTATGGATTTTATGTGTCCCCATAAAAAAAAATCCAATGGGTTGAGGTCAGGAGACCTAGCTGGCCACTCTATTGGCCCCCTTCTACCTATCCATTGTTGTGGAAAGTGTTGGTCAAGCCACTGTCGAACAGCTATCGTGTAATGTGGAGGAGCACCATCTTGCTGGTAGTAAATGTTATTTGGGTCTAGATTCAGCTCTCCTCCATCACGCTGGTTTTGTGCTATTTCTATGATTTTAGGATTAATAACATTTTCCAACATGTTTAAGTACGCCTCACCAGTCAAGTTTTCCTCAAAAAAGAAGGGACCAACAACCTCACTACCTAATATTCCGGCCCAAACATTATTTTTTTGAGGTCGTTGAGTATGGCCTTCAACAAATAAGTGGGGGTTTTCGTTTGACCAATACCTGCAATTATGTCTGTTAACCAATCCATTTAGATAAAATGTGCACTCGTCACTGAAACATATGTTTCTTGTTAGGTCAGGGTTCTCATTGATCAAGTCACTCATTATCTCACAAAATTGTACACGTCTGTCATAGTCATCCTCAGATAGCTCCTGGTTTACATGTATTTTGTATGGATGGAACTTGTTTAGAGTCATGACTTTATGAACTGAACCCAAAGAAATTCCAGTCTGACGTTGCACTTTGCGCAATGATGTAGTGGGATTCATCACAAATTGACCAACTACTTCTACTTGTGTCAATTCATTAAGGACCCTTCTTTCTGTTCTTGTCTTATTAATAACTGAACCAGTTTCAGAAAACTTTCTGACCAAATCATTGACAGCTGTATGACTTAAGTTCTTACCTGGGTATTTATTGTTAAATACATTTGCAGTTCTCCTGGAACACTTATGTTCTGTCCCATAAATAAAAATAATGTCTATTCTTTCTTGTAAAGTGTACACCATTTTCAATTACTGGGAAACAACAATAATTAAAAAACGTCCTCAACTATGACCAACATGAACAGTACTAGAGAAAGCGGCCTCATGTTTGGGGTTTTCTTATCAGCTATTAGACAGCCTTTCTTGGGTTAAAGTAAAACGTGATTTAACTTGTTTGCCTATCTGTTGTCCATGATTATTGATTGTTTCCTTCAGTTAATGCAGGAGCAAAAGTGTCTAGAGATAAAGTTTTAGTTGTTTTCTTATTAGTTTTACCATACAAAATTACGTTTTTCATCTGTCAATTTGCAACGGAAAGAGATAGAAAGAAAACTTAAATACAAAAAATGTTTGTTTAAAAAAGACCTTCCACATGATACAATAATTGTTATACCTTGCTATTTAAGAATTTTGTGTTTTCAGCTTTCTTTTATTCTTAAAATTTAAGATTTTTTTTAAAATGGAAAATAGCTCGGAAATTGCTTTCAACACAATTTATCTCAAAGAGTAGCTCAACAATAAGCTTGGAAAAAAATTTGGTGCTCTTCCGTTCAGTAGTTAGGGTAATAGGGTACTTAACTTCAAAGTTGTTTTTTAAAACGTTTTGACCCACCCTGTAAATACGGTTAAAGATAATTAACTTTTTCTTGCATCAAAGTGACCGGGGTAATTAGACCTTTAAATTGATGTATCACACAACCTATGTTTACATTTGAAAATTTCTCAAAAAGCACCCCTACCCCCCAAAATGGGCCCTTTTGGGGCATTTTTCAAAATTGAAAATAATTTTAATGGATTTGGCATGTTCAAATTAGGGGGATTTGAGATCAAACAAGTGTTAAAAGCCTTACCTTTGTACACAACAGATATGGAAAGTTTTCAAATGAACACCCTGTATACGATGGATATATTATATTATACTAGTGAACCTGTGCGGCTCAACGTGCCGCAAAAAACATATGAATTTAGAAAACAAATTCATCGTGTTATATATTGACTTTAAGTCGAAAATAAAATACAGTAATGAATGAAGCCTTAGAAGGAAAGCAGACCATCCATTTTCTAGCTGTATATGTCTTATATTTAGTAAATTTATAATCTATTGAGTATTTTATAGTTATTTCAAGATTTCAAAACACATTTAATAAAACATTTTAACAAAACCAATATATAGCATATTTGAAGAACATAAAAATGCTTCTGAAGAAACTCTTTTAAAGATATCCCCAAAATATCTATTTTATTTACAAAAGAACTTCCTTGAATAACTTACTAAGTTTTTATTCGTGAAATCACCTTTAGGAAGATTGCCCTGGTCAGAATTAAATTGTTTGTTAACTATTTTGTTGGAACCCTTGGAACCTTGTTCCATTAATGAGGCCCTTTGGTGGTTTGATATTCCTCACCAATAAAACCATTGCCCCTTTTTTTAAATCTGTGTCTTGGCAATCCACTGAATAAAGTAGTATGATCCATTATGGGTACACTTTAAGTTACTCAAAACATTATTAAACTTAATATACATTTACAGGCATAATAGACCCTACACACCATTTTTTTTATGTAGTAGACTTTGACTATTTTCAACTAAAAACATATGTTTTTATAAATAAAAATTATCTCCCATGCTATCCTTATGGAGAAAAAACTGACTTTAAGGGCCTCTGGCGCCCTTACCAATGACTTTATCAAAAATCTAATACCGTTGGGCACAACTACACGTTTTAACCTTTATTTTGAGACCTCAAAAGTCAAAATCGGGCGAATATTAACGGAAGAGTTCGATTAACAAAAAACGGCTTAGCCTATTATATATATAGATAGGTTAGTGCTCCAAAACCTGTTTTCTATCCTTATTAATGTAAAACAACAGCAGGCTAATCGATTATATGAATTTATTTGAAAAAAACGTCTGAAAATTCAATTTAGAAAATAATTTTTATATTATTTAGAGAATGTCTTTAAAACTAATGCATATACATAAGAAATGAATATGACCATTCTTGTAGATAATTTTATCATCTTTCTTTTTATAATTAACATTTTTCCGTACGACGTACGGTTTTCAGTGTAGAAGTAAAAAACTAAAAAATGGGGTCTTTCCCCCCCTCTCCCCGCTGAAGCAGCATGGCCAGGGGCGGGGACTTTTGGTATTTTTATCTTCTAACTACCCCGAACACATTCCCGCAGAAAAAAAATTTCCCCCTCTCCATGTTCTCTACACCCCTCTTTTGAGCTTGACTGGACTATGAAGGGAAAGGTCCAAGACAATCCTCTGGACAAGGGAGGAGTGAGGATATAGGTTTCAGGGTGCAGTGAACCTTTTGTCATAAAAGATTTGTGTCAAATAATTTTTTAAAAAGTTTGCATTATTACATGGGTTTATATTATTTATGTCTTAGGTATTTGTAGATAACTTGATTTTGGGGTTGGCGACCTCTTTAAACCTTGCATGTACCCTAGGGCCTAAGCACAAAACATATCCGACAAAGCCATGAGTGAGCCGGTACAGTACAAGAGTGAACTATACTGATAAAATTTAGTGGAGGGAACTAGGACACAAAACAATGACAATACTGCCATGGATTCATAGACCGCCACAATACCGACGGAGCCAACAACTCACCAAAGTGTTATTGTCAAGGATACCCGCAACTCAGCAACTCCCATATTCATTGATGATTGTTCAATCCTTTATTTGAACAACCACCAATTACAATGATAAGTAGCTCATATACATATAACATGAATAGTGTGTACTAATATTCAAAATTCTTAATTTATTTTGTGTGTGGTTTTTAACAAAGGATAAACTTACCTAGCAGGCTTGTAGTATTCACACAGGTAGTCAAACCTAGGGTCTGGTACTGGGACTCGACGTAACTAAAAAAAGAACAATTTGTTAGCTTTGAAAGAAAAAGTTTTGTTAAATAAATTAGTTTAAAATTAAGTTAATAGCCAGCAGATTAATGGTAATAACCCAAAATTTCAACAATGTAAAACTTCAAAACTTGCAAGATTTCCCAGGACAAGTCCAAAATATCCCCGCCGCAGCAAACCTTCAGACTCAGTGGCGGATCCAGAGAGGAGCTAGGAGGGCTATGCCCCCCCCCCCTTGGGATACATCCAATTTACACTAGCTAAAATGGGTAATCTTCACTGAGAAAAATAAAAACTTATCTCAGGTACCAGTAAACCATGACAGAACACCGATTGAACGGGATTGCACTGGCTCATATTTATAAGGAAGGGGAAATCGATGTAGGCCTAGATAAAGTCTTAGGCTACATAATTTTAGTCAGTCAAAACCAAGACAAATGTTTTTGTCAAATTGGGTTATTGAATATAACTCATTCATAGCATTTGTACTATTAAAAAAAGTTGTAACATTAAAATAAGATTTTTACACTAATACTATTATTTGAAAAAGTCAACTTATTTCTTTGTTTTGAACTGTACCGTACCCTTTAAATTCAGGATAAGAGTAAACCAGCTAAAAGTTATATAGTAATACTACTGCTTTAGACCTTTTATAATAAGGATTAATAAGTAATGCATTACTACATTTTAGAAACGTATTTGTATAACTATTATAGGGTAGAATAACTAAAAATGTACATACAGGTTTATTTAAAAAAAACTTAATCATTTAAAAAATAGTAATATCCATATATAAATCCCAAAGTAGGTCTACCCATCAACTTTTGAGCAAACTAAAAGTCACATCCCCATAAACCATATACTTAAAATGTTCGTCATGTCGAGAAACCGTGCGCAAAACTATCCATTATTGTCCTTTAAGGTCGTAATTCCTTTCTAAAGGGAACTTTCCATTTACCTAAGGTTAAAATAACTCAGCTGTTATTCTTTCAATGTATTACCATAGACTAACCTACACAAGTAGACTTCTCATCCCATAGTAAATTTTGAAGCACGTTTTTCGTGTCTAGTTCATGTAGCCTACGGTTACACTGGGCACTAGTGTCGACAACATTTTGTTTCTATTATTTTAGGGTTAATTTCTTGATTTGTACTTTACTGTTTGGTTATATAACTAGAGGACAAGTTATTGTTTATGATTAGATCGTATTATTTGGTTAAACTAGGTTTTAAATGACTGTAATAACGGGAAACAAATTGGAAACAAAACACGACCTCTACGTAAACCATTAAGAACTAACAATAAAATTGTCTTCAGCTGTTCCATAAGGATGAGAAATCTACTTAGGAAATATGTTTTATCTATGGTAGGCCTATTACCTTATTAAAATCAGGTGTGATTATTTGTTTGTATTACTGTATTCTGTTTTGTTTATTTCAGCTAATCTTAACCTATCAATAGTTTTATTAATACTTATGAAGTCAAACTAGGTGAAGCCCGTGGGTAACAGCTAGTCAGTACTTACTTACTTTTATTTTTTAGTCAATTTTCTTAAGTCAAACCATAGTTTTTTGCATCCAAACTGTGGTTAATAAAGAGTTAAAAATGGCCTATAATTATGTCATTTTACACTTAAATTTTGAAATTTTCCTTGGGAGGACCCCACCATGATGGGAGGTATTCCATAACACCCCCCCCCCCAATTTTCAACCCCCCCAAACGCCAAGCCCGCCTACCTCTTTGGCCCGTCCTGGATCCACCATTGTTTGTAGTCCAAATTTGTATTTGTCTGATTTGGTCAAAAATGGACAAATCGTGTTGAAATACATGAATAATAAAAGACAAAATACCCCCGCTGCAGCAAACCTGCCGACTAAGCGAATTTCCATTCACCTGGATTGATTTTCAATTAATCTATTAATTAATATTTATGTTTAACGAGTACCTAGGTTAGCTGCTACAGGGATACTAATACCCGCCGCAGCAAACCTGCAGACTAAGCGAATTTCAACTTGTCTGATTAAATTTTTACTAAAATATTTCCATAAATAAGACATATTTATTCGCAATTTAAATAACATTAGATTTAACGAGTGCTTAGGTTTGCTGCTACGGGGAAGGTAAAAATTGGTTTTTGACCATACGTCAATAGTATAAGATGAAATAAATAAATTTGCTAAACTTTATCAACATATATCCATAAACAAGTAAACTACAGTTTAATTTTCTCCATATAAATAACATGGGAATTTTAAAATACGCAAATTTTTAACTTTCTCCGTGAGCGTTAGGCATACAACAGCGCTTCAATATACTAAATTATTTCTTTTTTAAAACTCTACAAAATTGAAAATGTTTCTGTTTTTAGGGTCAAAAGTGGGAAAAACCCATTTTTACCCCATAAAACACCCCATAAACCCCCGTTCCCATGGTCCGATTATGCTGGTTCGCGAACTCGTTTTAATAAACATAGGTTTACACGTTTGTACCAAATTTCATCAAAATCGGATAATTTTTGCTCGAGTTATCGCGCTAACTGACATATAAAATTAAAATAAAAAAATTAAATCGGTCCCGGGTCCAGGTCTTACCATGAGTACTACGGTAATAGCTTATTCCCTATATGGGAAATTCGCTAAAAGAGGTTATAACTTTTAAAAATCAATAGTGAAATTTAAGACAAATCTGTCGTTAATGGGTTAAAAGAATTAAATAAAACAATTTTAATAATGTTTTAAACTTGAAGTTCCTAAATATTATTTATGACACAGATGTAAGGTTTTTATCTAAAAGTTTTGTAGAGGTTGATACTTATTTTCATTAGGATCAATGGTGCAAAACGGAAAGTTCTCTGCAGCAGCTTGGCTCTTGGTGAGAACGTTAAAGAAAGTGGATTTGCCGACGTTGGGGACTCCGACAATGCCGACTTTGAGGTTGGTACCAACTCGGCCTATCAGGGGCTTACGTTCCGGCTCCTCCACTTTCTTGGGTGGCATCTTCTTGGCGTCTGAAACAATAAAATAGCCCATTAATTAATTAATTAACAAAAATAGCTGGGTGGCTGAAGGGTTAAACTGCTCTCCTATCAATCAAAAACTAACCTGTTCCTGTTCGACCCTGAAAAGTTTGTTAACTTTTAATTAGTTTTAAGCTGGAACGAGGCCTTGGTTGTCCTTAATCATAGAGCCTTTTAAAAAATGATCCTAGATCCACAAACCATCTCGCTCTATTCTACACTCATATTTGAGTTTAAATACACGCTGGTAACGCCCCTATTTCAATTATTAGTAATAATAATTATTGAGCGGAGCGAAACGAAGCTCTTTGGGATAACTTCAATGCAATCTTTATAACACTTAATCTCAATAACGGCAGAACATATTTTAGCCAAACTTACCAAGGTTGTTTTGTCAAATGTTTGGATGGTTTAGATGTTACCAATTTCATTTTTTTATAATACCTATATAATTTTAAAGTAACTAAAAGTTTTTAAATTTTAACATTGGTCTTAAGGGTTGCCATAATGGTTACAAAATAACAACCTAAATAAAGCCATTAAAATTAAGCCATGACCTAAACGCAGTACAAAGGAAAAAAATTAGATGATAACACTGATCAAATACCACAGAGAAAGTCACAATTTGGAATCGACCACTGATCGAATAGGTACAGTCATAGATAAAACATACTTTCTTAGGTACACTAAAACATTTGATTTATTTAAGGTTATAACAAATAACATTTTATCTTAAACAGTTCTTCAGTGAATCACATTCATAGATCCATCTCATAAATGCCAAACTTAAACAAGTCCACGGCGTATGAAGTGGTGAAGGAAGTAGTAAAGGCGAGGTAGGAAAAGGTGAAGGAAGTAGTAAAGGCGAGAAGTGCGGAGTGTAGAAAACGTTAATGGCGTAGCAGTTAGATAATTGTATCTCAAATACTAAAATACTATGGGAAGGGGCAGGCCCGTTTTTGACCATGTCAGCGCCCCTTTGCAATATATACAGGGTGACCACCAACCGGGAAATCCGGGAATTAAGCGTGACTTTTTTGAACCGGGAATTATGTGTGCATTTTGTATTTCTACCAGGAATTTTCAATTTACCGATGGCGCATGACCACAGTGACGTTTCCATGACCACGGTAGACGGGAGACGATAATATGTCTCCACAAGGCCGCGAGGGATGATCAGAACTTTGCCGTGATCGCTTGAGATGATGATAATATCTACACGACCACGGGATATGATCATGCATGATTTTACTGCGATCGCGCGAGATGATGATAATGTCTAAACAACCGCGGGATATGATCATGATTTTACCACCATCGCGCAATACGACAATCAGATCTACAGATCCGCGAGGGATGTTCAGAACATTGCCGCAATCACAGAAGGACGAAGATAATGTCCACACAACAGCGGAAAACAGTCAGAAATTTGCCACGATCGCGGAAGACGATAATGATCCCCACATAACTGCGGGATATTATTAACATTTTGCCGTAATCGCGGGAGACGATTACGATGTCTTCACGACCGCGGGAGACGATTACGATGTCTACAGGTTTGCGGGAGTTACAATAATGATGTCTACTCTACACGCCTGCGAGGGATGATCAGAATTTTACCGCAATCGCTTAAGACGATGATAATGTCTACTCGACCACGGGAAAGATCAGAATTTTGCCTCATTCGCAAAAGACGATGATGATCTGCAAACAACCGCGGGAGATGATTACCATTTGCCGCAATGCCGGGAGAGGATGACAATGCCTCACGACTGCGGGAGACGATGATGTCTTCACGGCTGTGAGGGATTAGAATTTTATTGTGATCACACAAGAAGATGATAATGTCCACACGACCCCGGGAGAAGATTACAATTTTGCCTCATTCGTGGTAGACGGTGATAATCTCATCTCGACCGCGAGATGTGGTCATATATTGCCGCGATCAAGGAAGACGATAACACAGAAAACATACGATAATTATATCCACACATCCGCTGGAAATAGTCAGAACTTTGCCGCGATCGCGGGAGACGGACGATGATGACGTATATACAACTGCAGAAAATAATTAACATCTTGCCGCAATTGTGGGAGACTGTTAAGGTGTCTTCACGGCCGCAAGGGATTATCAGTTTACCGCGATCGCATGCAAAAACGGCCACAATTTTGTTTCTTTTTCCAATATTTTTGGCGCCCCCCAAAAATGCCAATTGCCTCGCGCCCTAGGCACGTGCCTACCTTGCCTATTTGGTAAATCGGCCCTGGGAAGGGGGGAAACAAGTCCACAATGTAGGAAGATGTGAAGGAAGTAGTAAAGGCTGGCAATGCGGAGAGTGGGAACCGTTTCAAGCAGTTATTAATGTCTGCAATAATAAAATGTTATGGGAAGGGAGGGAAACAGGTCCAAGACGTAGGAAGTAGTAAAGGTGAACAGTCCAGAGTGTGGGAACCGTCTGTGGCAGTTAGATAAAACTTTATCTACAATCCTACAATCCTGTTGTCTGTATCTGCAATCCTAAAATGCGATGGGAAGGGAGGGAAACAGAATTGTTCATTACACACCATTTCAAGATCATTTTAAGATTTAGATGATGTACTGCAATTGCTACTATTATGGCTTTTTAATATAGAGGGCATTCTTTTTACATAGCACAAGAATAACAAAGGCCCAAGATTAGAACCTTGCGGAACTCCATGTTTGATGTTTATTATTTTTTAGTTATGTTTTAAGATTTCACCAGTTGTTTTAGACAGAATCTCAACATACTGTCTTAAGAGAGATATGATTCAAACCAATCCATATAACGATCTGTTATACCAAGATTTTGCAATTTATTTAAAAGTATTTTGTGTGAGATACTGTCAAAAGCTTTTGTAAGGTCCATACAAATACCAACTACTTTGTTTCCTTTATCAACTGCGTCAATTATAGTGTCTGTAAAATCCATAAAGCAGTAGTTATAGACTTGCCTTTTCGAAACCCATGTTGCTCATCATCAAAGAAATCATTATTTACCAAATGATCCACAACACGGTTGTACATTACTCTTTCATTTATTTTAGATATAGAAGTCAACAAGGACACAGGTCGACAATTTTTTATAGGTATATCTATATATTTAATTCCGTAAGTGAAATGGTCACCACAAAATATCTCGAGCTAGGGAAAAGGTAAGAAGCATGGCTGTTGAGGATTCATTAAAAAATTAAGGTCCACGGACGGTGGGAAAAATATCAGAGTTACCTCTGCTCTGCCCCACAGGCCGCCAAAGATCCAGTTATTTTCTGAAGGAAGTACTGATACAGTGTTTCTATAAGCTGCTTTAAATATACCAGCTGATGTAAACATTGTGTATTTGTTTGTTTATTGATTTTAGTATACTGGTTTTAGGTTAGAATGGTTAATCAATGATGAAATGTATCGTGTTAGGGGAAGATCGCGACTACGAGGGAGAGTATTTAGGAATGGTAAACATCATAGGGAATGGTTAAGGCCAAACAAATTACAACGGAGGTGAAGGACAGCAATTGTTGCTATGGGCCTCTAGTTTATATTTATATTAGTAAACAATATTTATGTTTAAACAGTTCAATGGCAAAAATTAATACCTAGGTCTTAGCATACATGTTCTTTAATCCCCTGCCACAGCAAACCCACAGACTTAGCAAATTTCCATTTCCCTGATTGTATTTTCACAATTTTTTCCTTTTAAGTTGTCAGATTTATTCCTTATTTAAATAACAATATATTTTACGAGAACTTAGGTGTGCTGCTACAGGAAAGGTAAAAATTGTTTTTTGTAAAATATTAATAGTATAACTTAGAACAACACAAGTTCTAAGTTCTAAGTGATTTTGATAGGTGTACATGTTGCTCGAATTCGAGCAATTGCAAAGTATTACAGGAGTTATTTTTTTAAAACGAATAACAGTCATACTTAAAATGAGTTTAAAATAGTCAACTCAAAGATTACCGGTGTGTACCTCAGACCATGTTTATCTTCGTTAATGATACCGTTATGATCGTAAAAGCATTCTGGCCGGTTTGCTCCTTCTCAAAATGCCTCGCTGTGCAGGCAACACAGGTCATTGATAAAATGCCAATTGAAAACGAAAAGTCGTTTTGGGGTAGTGTTAGGGCGCATTTGTAACCTAATAGTTGAGATTGTCCAGGTTCAGGTGCTGACTGTTAGAGTTAAGCCTATTACGTGCCACTGTTCTGTAGCTGCGGTCATTATCACACAAAAAACGCCTCCTGTCTATGTTTCGTTGTCGTCACGTCGGAGGCATTTAACCCTCCGAGCGTCACTCGTCGAAAAATCGACTCACGACACACTTTGTGTAGTGTCACGCGTCGATTTTTCGACGCACGAACATCGTTTACGGCGAAGGCTCTATGACTGACTGAATCGGATTGAACTGGATCGAGGTGGGTATCGTTCTTTTCGTTAGATTCTAAGCTTTCTCCAGAGGTCTGTCTCTAAGCGCTTTATGTTCTCCGAGCCGATCGTAATTGTAGCAGACAGCTGATGTGCGTATTTGTAAACAGCTAGGTTACCCTCGGACCGATGACTGATGTGTTTTATTACGTTTATCATTGTTTTAGTGTTAAAAATCAAAAGTAGTGATATACGTGGTGCATTATAAGAAGATTTAAGTGATTTTGAAGGGCTGGTTGATGATCCTGAAGAAGTAGGTAGTGATATTGATGTAAATTATCAGCCAGATTCCTAGCTATGGTTAGGCTATGCATTCTTAGCTAAACGCTATGTACTGAAATCTGTTTTTTGCCCATAACTTATTTATTTGCAAATCTACTTCCTTATATTATTATATATTTGTAATCCTCATAAAATTTAGAACAAAAGTGGCTATTTTTAAATATTTATAGGCCTATAATTTATACAATTTCATTGAGCGCGAACTAATTTTTTTTTTGAAAATTTTCCAAAATATTTTTTTTTACCTTAAATTTTTTTTTTTAAACA